AGTTTATAGTTAAAAAGTTGATAATTGATACGTTTTTTTCAATGTTTGTGGAAAAAAATCCGTTAATGGGAAAGATGTTTGATGTCTTTTGCGATTTATGTGATATATCAGTAATTGCATATTACTAATAATTTGATATTGACGAGTGACGTTCTGAGATTGAATTGTTTTTAGGTTATTGCAAGGATATAGACTTTGGCTAGCGGAGGGACTCGCCAGAAGGGCGACCACATCCGTTAGTTATTTAAATTTGAAAGTTGCACGAACTGCTTCTATTAGTTTTGATTGTGAATTAGTTAACTTAGAAATACAAAAAATAAATATTTTATTATGAATTTATTTTAATATTATTCACCTTGTAGAAATATTTTACTATTAAAATTTAAAAACTAGGATTTGATCCTCAAGAAATGCAACAAGCTAATAAGTCAGGTGAAGAATATCAACGAGGTCAAGAGGGAGCACAAGGAGGAGGTAACACATATGAAATATTTTTAATTTTAATTAATTAGAATATCAGTACGGGTGAAAAAATATACCTGTAAGCCCTTGTTTCGAAATTCGATTTCATTTAAATAAGCAGTAAATCTAAGGATTGCGGATCTGGATAACAGAATCAGAAAAATGCCTGACATTTAGAAAATCGTTGAAGGGGTCGTAAATCTAGAGATAGCATAGCCAATATCCAAGGTTTTTGTTATTAACGGTTTTGCTGATGCTTTTCAATTTTTGACTGACACTCTGTTTCTTCCCATTCTTATTTAGTCACATCCAAACACTTTTAAGGAGTTTCCATTAACGAACTATCTCTGATGGTCATCGGGGCCATATCTGGGTATATTTCTAGATATTATACAAGTATATGATAAGTAATTATGAACAAAATAAGAATTCCAATCTATAAATAATTTCCCATCTATTTCATATGTTAGTTTAGATAGAGTGTGATTTAGTTATAGATTTAGTTGTAGAGTGGTATTTAGTTGTAGAACCATTTTAATTTTAAATTAAGCACTAGGATTTGATCGTCGAGAAATGCAACAAGCTATTGATCGTTCTGCTGAAGATTATCAAAGAGGACGTGGTCGAAATAGTGGAGTGATAATTGGAGGTATAAACAATGAAATTTTTTAAAGTTTAATAATTGGAATCCAGTCCCGACACCGACATTATTTCACATAAAAACTTTTATTTTTATTACAATTATCCTTTTCAAGCAACTTTCCCTCCTTAACAATTATTATTTCATTTTTGCATATTTTATTGGCAATTTATTTCCGTTCCGATTACTTATCCTCTAAAAAATTTTAATAAATTAAACAATCATCTCTGTTCAATATTTATTTACCGATCCCAATTATTCACAAACTTACCTAAATCGTCACTTTGTCTTTCATATACCATCCCTCCATTTTCTCCATTATTTAACCGAAGGTTGAACAAAAAATGATTAAGTGAATTAAATAACAAATTTAGGAGGAAATTCTCGTCAACAAGGCAGACCACGCCGAGGAAGCAATCTAGGACCTGGAGGTTTTTCATTTAAAATTATAAAAAAGGTGATAAAAACTAAATTTTAATAATTTAAACAGATAAAGGAAAGGGAAAAGCGCTAGACTAACAAGATGGAAACACTGTATTTGATGACAAGAAAATTTGAGTTATAAAATCGAACAGTTCATAGCCGGAACGGGCCACTTGAGCGTCAGCCAAATTTGTCGGCTATAACTTTATGCTGCTTAATCCAACACAAATGTTTCATATATGTTTTCATATATATAAACAATGAAAAAGTAACTTGATCCATCGAAAAATAACTTGATCTATCCATTTGGGTTAGAGATTAAGCTTTAGAATATATAAGATTTATTCGGATTTTATCAAGATTAAAGAAGTTATAGTCGATCAAATTTGGCTGACGCTCAAGTGGCCACGCTCAAGTTCCCTAATTCAACATAACGTAGAGAAAATTCTCTATTTGAATGCATCCAGTAATGTCAATCTCCAATAGAATGACACATTACAAGGTTTTGAAAAATAGATGACAATGCATTCTTAAAGAGATTTTACTAGAGTTGGTCACGGTACCGTATTACCGCGGTATTTTTACCGAAATACCGAATACGGTACCAAACAATTTTAAAAAAATCGGTATTTTTCGGTACGCTTCTCTCCCTATGCTTCCCTCTTTTAGCTAGATGTTGAAACATTAATTATCCTTGGTAATTATTTGAGCATAGTATATGTACAGTATCCAAAACAAACAGTATTTTCAATTTTAGATTTATTTCTAAACTTTTAATTAGGGTAACACGAGACCGTTTAGAAACCTCGTTTATTGTTCCCTGTGGCGGGTCAAAAAGAGAAGAGAGAAGGAAAAAGTCCGCCACAGGCAAAAATAAACCTCGAATCAAACGGTCTCGTGCTACCCTACTTTTAATTTTAAAACATTCTGATGATTATATTTTAAAAGCTTTAATGATTACACTCTATCTCTATGCTTTTTCTATTTATTGTCACACTGTTTTTTAACCATCGTACTTGTTTTTATTTTATTTTGGTTCATTATTTTTAGTAAAAATTTATGTTTGAGGGATAAAATTAGAATTAGATATAGTCGCATCTCGCTAGCACCCCGCTGGGACTGAAATTTATTCTTATTTGTATCTTAAATAGAGATAACGCTTAGATAACAACTAAATTTCTAAGCAAAAAATATTAATTAAGGTTTTGATATCTTAATGTGAGATTTTATTGCGAGACCGCATTTTTTGTCCCTTTAAGTATAAAACTGAAATAAGAAAACGGTACAATGGTAAGAAAACTACTCTGATCATCTGTCCGAAAAAATCCCAAAAAAATCCATCCTTAGGGGTGTATTTTTTAAACCGAAACTGGTCGGTTTAGCCACCGTTTTCGGTTATCGTCAGTTTTTAACCCCAGGTTTTCGGTTTACTCGATAACAGCTGTTATATCTATAACATGGGTTAATATGCGATTCGAAATGTTGTCAGGTGGTAATGTATTCCTGTGTTTTGTTCGGCAATTTATTTACGTCTTTTTCTTAAGCAGAAAAATACAGCTACTGTTTGTATAACTACTCAAATGGTTGTCAAGTTCCTCCTAATACGACTAGCCAGAATTTGGGGAAATTGAATGTTAGGGAAAAAGAAAATTTTTAATTTGACAATTTTTTAAAAATTTTGTTAATTATTTAATATTATATTTTTTATTAAATTAAAATTTATTTTTAATTGTTCTTGCAATCATTTAAAAATAATTAGTAAGTCCCTTAGGCTGTATATGCGCCTTTCATGTGACGTATATGCGCCTTTCATGTGACGCATATACTTTCATGTGACGCATATACTTTCATGGGACGCATATACTTTCATGTGACGCATATACTTTCATGGGACGCATATACTTTCATGGGACGCATATACTTTCATGACGCATATACTTTCATGTGACGCATATACTTTCATGGGACGCATATACTTTCATGGGACGCATATACTTTCACGTGACGCATATACTTTCATGGGACGCATATACTTTCATGTGACGCATATACTTTCATGGGACGCATATACTTTCATGGGACGCATATACTTTCATGGGACGCATATACTTTCATGTGACGCATATACTTTCATGGGACGCATATACTTTCATGGGACGCATATACTTTCATGGGACGCATATACTTTCATGTGACGCATATACTTTCATGGGACGCATATACTTTCATGTGACGCATATACTTTCATGGGACGCATATACTTTCATAAGACGCATATACTTTCATGGGACGCATTACTTTCATTCATTCACTTACCCTAATTTTCGGCAATAAGGAAAGGGCAAAACACCCCCTTATAATTTTCCTTTAAAAACGGGCAAAAATTTTTAATGGATATCCACTTCTCCTTTTCGGCCGTCTTTTTATTTTCAGTTAGACTTACTATAAGATATATCCAATTCAAGTGACCTCTCTTTTTTGGCTTAAAAAGTTAATAACTTAAAGGTTATTAACCCTTAATGAAAATCCTTTAAAGCAATTTCTATTAAATTCATTGAAATTACAATGCTCAATCAAAAATTCACTACAATTATCGTCACTTTATTATGTATATCCTGCCAAGTCGAATTTCCCTTTGAAGGCAGGCTGAAATAATAGCCGGATATTCACTTTCACATTATTCTTAAAAACTTAGAAAATTGAGAATAGCAAATTCACGCGAAATGATGTTCAATTAACTCTACGGTTAATCAAACTAGGTTGATAAGAGTTCAAACAATGGGTAGATAAATGCTTAGACATTGGAGAGTTAAGAGTTTTGCCAATGGGTAGATAAGGTCACAGGACTGAGTAGATAAAAGTTCAGACTAGGTTGATAAGAGTTCAAACAATGGGAAGATAAGAGTACATACAATATGTAGATGAAGTTCTGTCATTGGGTTGATAAAAGTCAGGCATATGATCTGACAATTATAATCTTTGGATAACAAACAGACAATGGATAGATACGTGTTCTAGCATTGGATAGATGAGTTCAGATAATGAGTAGATAAGAGTTCAGACAGTAGGGAAGGTAATTGTTGTGACATTGGATCAATTAGAGTTCAGCCAATGGGTAGATATGAGTTCTGGTAACGGGTAGAATTGTGTCGCATCCTGCGAATTACTCATTTAATTAAACTTATGAAATTACGAAATCTGTTAATCACTGAAATTCTTTATTCACTTTCTCACACAAACTTATTACAAAATACTTTCCTGTAAATCAACCGCTATAAAAATAGCTGGCTTTTCCCCCGTTTTATCGGTCTCAGCGGTCATTAAAATCTTTCCTTGGATCACAATCTGTCCCTTTTTATAAATTATATGCTTCTTCCTTTCTCAAATAAATTGTACTTTTCATTGCGAAATAAAGAAATAATTGAACGTTCGAATTAATTATAAATTAGGAGTCCCAAATATAGGAACCATTTCCTACAGCTCAGCCGGATCGAAAACCCGAAAAATGTCAGTACCTTTCCGCAATGCATTGCGGCTCCTTGCTGAAGACGCTACCGAAATTTTGGAAAATAAAAAAGAATTTAATCTCCCCGAACAAACAGTTAGCATTTCCCTCCACCGTTCAAATATTCGCTCCCTCGTTACATCCCTAGAACTAGAATTGGGAAATGTATCCGAAACAATCACAGATATAACCTCAGCCCACGAAAGATGGATGACAGTCCGTACCAGTATGACAGGCGCAGAGCGCCAAGCCGACAACCCGATATACGAAGCATTTACTACAGAAACTCCATTCCTTAATATACTACGAGATTTAAAGAGATATTCCCGTAAACTCCTTTCTGAAAAGGCTAAATTAACAGAAGTTCTTCCCGATCCCTCCCAAATCACAAATACACATTTTCACCTCCCGAAACTCTCTCTTCCCAAATTTAATGGAAAATGTGTTGAATTTACTTCCTTTTGGAACTCATTTAAAGTTGGTGTCCACGACATTCCAGATCTTTCCGATGCCGTTAAATTTAATTATCTCAAGGAATGTTTAGATGGACCCGCATATTTACTGATAAAATCCCTTCCTTTAACCAATGCTTCTTATCATGAGGCAATCCGACTTCTAAGAGAAAATTATGGAAATTCCGATGAAATAAATAGGACCCTTCTCCATTCAATAAGAAAATTGCCTACAGTACATTCAAATAATGGTCCCGAAAATCTTTGTATGGAACTACGATCATTCGTAGACAAATTTGAATTATTATATTTACAAATGATTGAACAGGAATTTGATATCAACACGCTTTCCATCCAAATGGAATTAGAATCGAAACTCCCACCTCCTATTCTTGAAGAAATATTTAAAGCTAAGGAAGAAAATGGAGCAAACTGGCAGACCGATCAATTACGGACAACATTAAAACAAATACTGAAAAGAAAGGAAGGAATAAAAGCTCTAGACGACCAAAAGAATGAGCTAAACGAGCAGATAAGTCACCCTTGTACTCCAAAATCACCCCGACCCGTTAGACAGACTAGCCCACCTAACACACCACAATCCTCCCTAACATTTCATACATCTCAACAAAACAATAAAACAGGGAGGTTTAGATTCCCCTGTATTTTCTGTAACCAACCCGACCATTTATCCCACCATTGCTCTAACTAGAATTCAATCCATTCTCGAAAATCCCGCTTATATGAGAAAAATTTATGTTTTAATTGTTATAAGCCCAACCATATTTCGAGGAGTTGTCAAAGACCAATTACTTGTTCCCATTGTAATAACTTACATCCCAGAGCACTTTGCTCGAAATTATTTAATCCACAAATTAATGAACCCTGTATAGATGAAGATTATAATGAAGAAACCATTATATCCCCACAAGAAATTCCCAAGCAACATACAATTAATCACTCACAAATAATGCCAATTACACCCCCACCTATAGCTCCAATCCCTTTATCGTTAATAAAATTGCCGGATAAATTTTATACCGCCAAGTCCTTTAATAATTCCTCAAAAACCGAAACCAAATCAGGCCACTTAAATAAAAAAGGCGAAAGTAAATCCTTAATGCCCGAAGAGTCACGATTAATCTATAGCTCAATTAAAATTTGCCCAAAAATAGACGACAATCAAAATCAATTACTTAGCCCCGATCCTATTAAAAATCCCATGAGTCCCATTCCTCCAAATATAATTAATCAAAAACACGGTCCACTGAAGACCATTGAAAATAATAAGTTAGAAATAAAAATTTCAGTTCCCACAGATAATGTGCCTAGAAGAAAAGGACTAATTAAATCTTCAGGCCCCCCAGGTGATGTTCCATCAGACAAATCTCCACGTCCGACTTCCCCCACAACAGAATTGGACTCTCATGATCTACCCACTTCCCCGCCTGTTGCTACTGACAAACATCAAACACAAAATATTCCGACTACAAAGCCACAACCGCATGCTCCTTCGAAACTGAAAATGATTTTGGATCCTCCACCGCCTCCCCCCAGCTCTCCAATCAAATTCCCAATCAGTCGTGTTCGAGTTCTCCCTTCTGGCTGTGTTGAACGCCTTCCAGCCTCCTCCATAACAAAAAATCAATTGTCAAAATTACAGAAGAATAAGAAATTTAAGAAAAGAAATATTTCATACATTCCACGATTAAACTCAATTAAATTTACGGTCCCCCCTATTTTGCCAAGCATTATAACTACTTATAACAATGTAAACCCAAATTGGCCCATTCCTAATCTTCTCCGTTTATTCAACATCCAGCCAATATTTTGTTATCTCCCATTATTCAATATCCAACCCATTCACTCAATGTTTGCCGCGGGAGTGTCGCATCCTGCGAATTACTCATTTAATTAAACTTATGAAATTACGAAATCTGTTAATCACTGAAATTCTTTATTCACTTTCTCACACAAACTTATTACAAAATACTTTCCTGTAAATCAACCGCTATAAAAATAGCTGGCTTTTCCCCCGTTTTATCGGTCTCAGCGGTCATTAAAATCTTTCCTTGGATCACAATCTGTCCCTTTTTATAAATTATATGCTTCTTCCTTTCTCAAATAAATTGTACTTTTCATTGCGAAATAAAGAAATAATTGAACGTTCGAATTAATTATAAATTAGGAGTCCCAAATATAGGAACCATTTCCTACAATTGTTTATGGTAGTTAAGTGTTCTGGTAATAAGTAGATAAGGGTTCAGACAATGAGTAGCTAAAAGTCATACGCTGAGTAGATAAAAATTAAAACAAGTGTAGATAAAAGTTCTTGCAATAGAATTTTGTAACCTTAGAGCAGTTTACCAAAAATAAATACTTGTCAAGACTTTATACATTCGATTCTATGTGCAAGTCAACTTGGAAGTCAATAAAGGCTATTATGTTTATCCTGCCAAGTCGATTTTCCCTTTGAAGGCAGGCTGAAATAATTGCCGGATATTCACTTTCACATTATTTTTTCAAACTTAGAAAATAGAGTGAATAGCAATATCATGCGAAATGACGTTCAATTTAAATTAGGCTAATCTCACCAGAGCTACCTCTCCGTTAAAAATATAAAAAATATACATTAGCTCAGATTTTATGTATTTTATTAATATTATTGTTTTGTAGTTATTTTATTAGAAAATTAATTATTAAAAAAATAATTTTATTAAAAAGACGAGAGAATATAGCCAATACATAGAGATCGGACCAAACAAATATTTGGTCAAATAAAATCAAATATTTGACCAAATTTTATTTGATCAAATATTTGTTTGATGAGTTTTTGAGGAAATTTGATTTTTTCAAATATCAAATAAATATCAAATAATTTGATCAAATATTTGTTTGATGAAGGTTTGAAAAATCAAATATTTGATCAAATATCAAATAATTTGATTTTTTAGCATGTAAGATGGCATATTTTTCTTATAAAATCGCTATGACAACCGTGATTTTTGCTCTAGGACACATTATTTAGCGTAGCAGAACATATCCCGATGCACATGATATCCCTATATTACTTCATAGTTGTTTCCGCAAATTGAGTCCCCCTTGTATAGTAATTTAGAAGGGATTTTGGGGATTATCAGTGATGTTGAGGGATTAGAGGTAGATCATCTTAGATGATTTGGGAAGAGGAATTTAGGTAGATTAAGGGGAATATAGATGGATTTGACGATCAAAATATATATCAATGGATTTGGCATGATTAAGAGGATATCAGGGGATTTGGGATATCGAGTGATTAAGAGTAATATCTGGTAATTTAGATGGATATCAACAGATTTGGAGGGATTTTGGGATTAAAAAGGATTTGGGATGGATATAGACAGATTTTGAGGGATTCTGGGATAAAAGGGATAATGGGTGATTTGTGATGCATAACGACGGATTTGGAGGAATATAGGTGGATTAAAAGTGTTATCCCGATGCACGTTATATCCCTTTATTACATCAACTCTTAATCTCCCAATATCCCCCTATATCCCCCTTAAGCCTTACAATTCCCTCATATCACCCTTAATCCCCCCACATCCAACTTAGTCCTCCAATATCATCTTCATATCCTAGAGAAAACCTAATTAACTCTCCATATTAGCAAATAGTAAGGGAAAAGCGAGAATAGAGCCTAAATAATTGAACTCACCCTCTTATTATTTAAGGCATCATTGTTATTATTGTTTTTATAAATTTAATTAATTTTGTAAAATATTATTAAAATAATTTCAGAAAGTAATGAAGATTTCAATATTTTCATTTCTTTGCTTATTTTTAACGCCTCATCTTGTTGATTCAACTAATAGCGATGATGAATTGGATGAACATAATTATTTCGATCCTTTTCAATATCGGGATGTTGAAACAAGCGGGACAGGAACTAGTGGCCATGGAGGAACTGGAACTGGAAGCATACCCCCAAGTACTGAAGGATACCTTCAAGGAATGTATTCTGGCACAGAACATTCTCAAAATTGGTTGGCTTTGAATCGAGGTTCTGGCAATAATCCATTTTTAAACTCACCTCAACATCTACAAGGGAATCCGTCTGTTCAAGTACCTCGAAATTTGTGGGATTTGCAATTAGGATATGGCAATTATCCATATCAACATCACCATATTAAACCTTCTGGTCAAGATTCTTCACAAAATTGGTTAAATTTGGATTTAACTCTTGGCACTAATCAGTCTTTATACCCAACTCAACGTCAACATATGAATGCAGAATACCCTCATGGAACGAATCCTGGTCAAGAATCTGTTCAAAATTGGTTAAATTTGGGTTTAACACTTGGAATGAATTCTTCTGGTCAAAAAGGTAAGACAGGGAAGGTAATAAAAAACAAGAAAAAAGTTTCTTTACTCGAGTACGCAGCCAAGATCTGAAATCTGAAATTATTTGACCAATTTGTCCTATATCTTTAAGTAGAATCTTAGGATTTCTAAAAAAATTTTTACAAATTTAAGATGACAATCCCTATATTGTTAAAACAGAAAAGGGAAGATATACTTTAGAATATGCTGGTTATAAATATTACTATTCTAATCATAATGATAAAAAGGAGACTATCACTTGGAAGTGCAATAAATACCGTAGTTCTGGATGTAAAGGAAAAGTTGTTACAAAAGGAGTTAAATTTGAAAAATTGAATGAATTAACAAATGATGAATTAAAAGAATTGAAGTTTGATAGTGAATTTACATCTAAGCACACTTGTGTAAAAAAAGGAAAAATTATAAGTGGTAATGTTTTATAAATTCCAAAAATGAGCTTTGCTTTCTAAATTAAAAAAAATTTAATAACTTTTTTTAAATATCTTGCATTCTCCATCGGGCTTCGTATCTAATATCAGTTTTCAGATTAGGCCAGTTAGAAATTTAGATTAGAAATTTTTTTCTCCCTCTTTTCATTGTGCGAATTCTTATTTAATTTTTTCCTGAAAGTGGCGCTAACACACTAAAGTAGAAAAAAATTAAAAAAATTGTAATGTGACTCTAGTTGTCTATTGCCAGTGGTGCAAATAAAAGTAGTACATGTTGAGCATATAATGAAAAGGAGAAGGAGAACGGTAGAGTACGGAATTATCTCGGATTAGGATTCGAATTTAGAGCTGTACGAAATTGCGGATGGCAATTGCGGATACGACGATTGCGGATATGACAATTCCGGACGACAACTCGGACTACAATTGCGAATACAAAAAGTTTTAAAAATTATTGATTTTTTAAAATTTTCAGTGCCGCAATATTTTAAAAATGGTTCGGAAACCGTCATAAATTTGAAACTGAAGCCGGGATAAAAAAACGTGATATCATTTCAACCATTATTAAAATTACGAAAAATTTTTAATCCGCAATTGACATAACCGCAATCGTCGTCCGCAATTGTTGTCCGCAATCGTCGCATCCGCACATGCGTATCCCAATTGTCGTAACACCGAATTTAGACATAATTTTTATGTCAATAAGACCTTATAAATTATGAATTTAAAATATCAAATCCCATTAAAATCTGTGAACGTATTAAAAAGTTGTAGATTTTTCAAATAGTGCTTTTCAGTTAAAAACAGTTATAATAATTTTTACTAACATATGTATTTTCAAATACTTAAATCAAATCTATTGATTATCACCTAATCGAACATTGAAATAATAATTACCCAGAGGAATCTTTTGGGTAAATATTTTAATTATTGTTTTTAAGAAGAGCCTGTTTTTAAACAATCGATACAAGGGACAGATAAATTAGTTTTGGGTGGTTATGAATATTACAATGAAAGCAAAAAACAAACAAATGGAAATATATATTGGGTATGTAGTAAAAGACCTTGTAAAGGGCGAGTAATAAATGAAGGAAATAAGTACATATTAACACAAGAACATGAAAAAAAATACCATAATGCTGG